TGCTACTTGACTATACGTTCTCCTTCTCGTCAGTAAGTTGAACAATTTCATTTCTAGATTCTGATATTTTGTTCATGTTGATTGTATTGTCTTAGTAACTCTTTATATTCTTTTCTTTGCAACTTTGACTGATCAACAAACACGTCTGAACATTGTTTCAAATGTAAATTCAGCTCTTTTCGATAAACTTCGTGCTGATTATGACGAAACACTTTCATGTCCATGTTCGACAAATCTTATACCATATGATACTTTTGTTTCCAACACGATCACATTTCATCCTATATGTTCGAGTTATTTTGTCAGTAGAGAATGGATTGATTTTCTCTATTTATCAGATATATTCAAATATTTTATGATGGATTTTCGAGCAACTGCCAGTTATCAAGTAGGTGATTGATGAGAACATCATAGAAGAAGATGTTTTTCTTGAGTGTCTTTAGTTTCAACTTCTCGCTGCACTTTGCTTATTCTCTATGCAGACAATATCGCAAACAAAAAACAATATTGCAAGTGAACAATTCTTTTCGGTCGATCTTCTCTCCGAACAAGAAGTTCAAGCTAAAATTCAGACAAATATAGATCTCATCCGTAGCGGAATACTTGCTCAAGTTAATTTACATTTTGATTTTCTTCAAATTTTTGCTCGATCGAATTCTTTTATCACGGCGCTCAATACCAATACTTTCATTGTCGATTGGCGCCAGAGAAGTGGCATTACTACAATAGAAGATGTATTACATATAATATTTATGAAATACATTGACCTAGATGCTTCTAGCTCATCTAATCTTGTTTCAACATGTGATCTTATCAATGGGATAGTTGTTCCATCTGGATTTCTTTCGTTTGCAGCAGAAAATGGTCTTTACGATATCATCTATCGACAGTATTGGCCTACATATCCACCTGATTTCGAACCAGATATATCTGCATTAGTTGACGGATTCTTCAGTGGATGTACACCACTTGATGGTATTCTTCAAAGCACATTTGATTGTCTTTATAATCTAACTTGCCTACAAGTTCTTGCTGATTATTTTCCCGACCTGTCTCGAGTATATATTTCATGATCAATTCTTGTTTAAGATAATAAAAACTTTTCTTTTTATATCATAGATAGATCTTCATTCAATCAGTTTAAATTCATCCTCAAATCAAACACATCTTCCAATGAGTGAACGGTTCAGAAATCTTTTTGTTGAACAATGGTCAACAGACATTAATTATTCGAAATATTTTACGGCATGTGCTTCGAAATCTTGCACTTACACCGAAATTATTCAAATAAATTATTCGTACACAATCACACTTTTTATCAGTCTATATGGTGGTCTTTCTATTCTGCTTCGTACACTGTCGTCTGGCTCAATTAAGATTTCAATCAAAGGCGGATGTCGTTCAGATCGTCTAAGAGCTACTAGCGGTATATTTCTTCTCTAATAAGAACCGGATATTTTCTTAATGTTAATTATATTTCTGTTTCAAGTATCTATCACAATGCTTTTACGACGATTTGGAACTTGGCTGAAACAGTTAAATCTATTTAAATCAGCAAAGAATCGAACGCCAACGGATATACACTATCAAGAATTCAGTAGACGTGTTTATTTAATTTTACTTGCAAGTATGAGACCGTTGTTCTGAATGAACGATTTTTTAGGGAGAGTTCTATATAATTTTGTAAGTCAGCAATAGTTAAATTCATGGTAGTAGCTCAGGTGAACGGAAATGAGCTGATTTATTATAGTTTTTTGGATAGTTTTCATCGATCTGAGAATAGGTTAACTGAGATTTATTGAACGAGACAGTCATATTATCTAAAATAATATTTCTATGTATGCATTCTTTTGTTTAAGGTTCAATTGTTATTTATACGATGTTTACTTCGCTTAGTACTCACTTGGTAATTGAAACTGAATCATATCCATCATTTGTTAAATATAACAAACTATGGAAATCATATTCGAGTACGTTGAAGTGTCCTTGTTCAACTAAACAGTTGTCTCTATGCTAATCGATCATTACTAATTCCAAATCATGGTCAAAAGATGCACTACACATGCTTATTTTTTCTTTTATTCATTTATAAAATGAAGTCTTTTTTATCAGTTTAAAATCTTATGTATTCATTTGAATAAAATCATTTTTAATAACGTAAAAATTTTTGAATGCGATGATTATGATTATCGGCAACATAAAGATTTAATTGATTGTCTAAAGCAACTGTATACGGACTATTCAATGATAGACTATCATTTCCTGATTGACCAGTTATACCAGCAATTGTTGTACCATTCATTTGACCATTCATAAACAACTGAATTCGATGATTGATCAAATCGGCAACATATAAATTACCCATTGGATCAAGAGTCAAACCGGTAGGAAGATTGAGTGATGTTGATGTACTACCAGGTAGTCCATTGATATCACCAGCTACAAGTGTCCAATTCGTGGCACCTAATGTCCAACGGACAATATTATGACGAAGGAAATTTGCAATAATAAAACTGTTTGTTATTGAATCAAGATACATAGCCATCGGAATATATAACTGTGTATAACTTGGTCCTGGTCCATTGTCACCAGCAGCAACGAAACCTGTAGAATTTCCAGATTTATATCCCATGATACGATTATTTCCACTATCTAAGACATAAGTAATGTCTAAACTCCAATCACGAGCAATATCATACGTAAAATTCAATGGATTGAATGTATTACCAACAGTACCTATTAAAAAACGTTATCACTTATTTTTCTTCTATCAAAGTGTATTTCCTTCAAATCATACCTGAACCTGCAATAATAATTCCTGAGTTGGAATTTTTGGCCCAGAAGAGTGCTCGATTATTATACGCATCTGATATATATAGATTTTCATTTGAATCAAGAACGATTTTAGATGGAGAATATAAAGAATCAAGCGTATTATTGAATGCACCATTAGGATTTCCCGCTACAGTTATTCCTTCTGTAGAATTGGGTAGAAATTTTTGAATTCGATTATTCAAACGATCTACAACATATAGTGTACGATCATAAGTTAATGCTAATCCCCAAGGATTATTCAATTGAGTCTTATTGGCTCCACTCCAACCAGTTATACCAGCAATTGTTATGCCACTTGCATTCCAGCGAAGTACAGGAACAGCGACTACAAAAAACAGAACGAATATTTCTGTTTTCTATTTTATATAACTTACCGTTCGATATTGTCTTAGATTTCTTCAGAAGAACGATAAGAACAATAATAGTTGCTACAATTAAGAGTAGAAGAAGTATTATCAAGCAAATAAAGTATAATCTTCTGCGTCTATAATAAAATTCAAAAGCAAAATTACATAACATAAGACGATAAATGTGGATTACTTTTTCTTTTTCTTCTCATCTAAATTGTGATGGAAACGTCTAAGATGAAAATCTGTTGGATTTGCCCATGTATCTTTTATCTTTAGAGAACAATATCAAAGTGATATATATATATGTCGTAGTAATCATTAAAATCTAGTTGAGTTTAAAACTGAACTAGTTGACATTAAAATTTGAATGGCAACTAGTACAGATTAAAATTTTGATGTCAACTAGTTGGTATTAAAACCGTTTTGATGTCAACTAGTTCAGTTTAGAATTTTAATATCACCTAGGACAAATTAAAATTTTGATGTCAACTATTCATACCGGACTAGTTGACATTAAAATATTTTGATCTCAACTAGCATAGTACATTGCCTAGTTTTGCCGCAGCAAGGTGTCCGGCCGGCCGAGCGACAGTACGGCTCAGCGGCAGACCGACCGGCAGAAATTTTGAAATACTACCTTACACCAAGTTCAGATCAACCGATACATGTAAATGCAATGGTAGTTCTACTTCGAAGCGATGTCAATGTAAAAAGAATGGTTGAAAATGTTATTCCAAATGCCATCTTGGCAATGGATTAAAATGCGAAAACTGCTAAATAAGTCTTTTTTTCTTTGTTTTGAATATTTTTCCTACATTACTAGAGTATTGTGCTCTTTTGTTAACGCAAGATTAAAAATATGAGCTAGGTCTAAGTTAACTATAAATTTATTTTAATCTATCCTAGTTGAGATCAAAATATTTTAATGTCAACTAGTCCGCTAGTCCGCTATGAATAGTTGACATCAAAATTTTAATTTGTCCTAGGTGATATTAAAATTTTAAACTGAACTAGTTGACATCAAAACGGTTTTAATACCAACTAGTTGACATCAAAATTTTAATCTGTACTAGTTGTCATTCAAATTTTAATGTCAACTAGTTCAGTTTTAAACTCAACTGGATTTTAATGATTACTACGACATATATATATATATATTTTACATTTCTGTTTCCTTAAAATGAAACTAACTTTAGATGCATTCGATGAAAGATTTCCAACACTTTGATTACGCAGAGCCCGAAAACTATGATTTCTGAAGGATTTTCTTTGTAAACTTTTGCTTTGTGATTCCGATTCCACGTTTCGTTGGTATTTACTTATTGAAATAGAATTATTATTGTTTTCCTGTGCAGCATTAATCGAATCTTTTCGATCTCTATGTAAATCCTTGTCGCTTCGAGTGTATGGTGTTCTAATAGTCACATGAATGATTCTTTTCGGTGGTTTTATTATTTTCAAACGTTGATTATTCTAAATAAAATATTAGATAGATAATTGTATGAAACTAAATTAGCTAATTTACTTCTGTAGATTTTGATCGTTTGGATCTATCGTTGAGAGCAGACACAGAATTCGTTTTCATCTTCTTTGCTTTTTAGTTTCTACAGAATAATCCACAATATTGAATTATTCTTTCGTCAAATAACGCGATACGAAAGGTTTCACTAATACAGAACAGAAACACTAATTCATATACAAATCAAATAGAAATCGCAAATTCTATGGTATTTTTTTATAAAGAGTACGAAGTAATTTTATTCAAATATATGTTCTCATGCTCGCCTACATTAACCCTGAAGAAATCTGAGTAGCTGCCTAATTCGACTTATAATATAAGTGACCAATTCCTAGCACACTACAATCCCTATCTACGATAGAAATAGGAATAGATTTAGTTTGACTTATACATATATACCCTCACCCACATCAGTACAGCGGAACTGAAGCCCAGTCAGATGTAGCACTTGAACTTTAAATCCTAAAGTTAGAACTGTAATAGAAAGGTTTTTGTTACTTTTACAGGAGTAATAAAATGATCCAAACATGATGTTTTTTGTGAAAAGTGTATTAGATGGAAGACATAAGAAGTCGGAGGAAAATGTCAATACCTTTTTAATAAACTAGGAATTACTCGTCCAATCAGTCTCATCGTCGGAATCCAGCGATCTTTTGATGTGACAATACGATATTGAAAATTTTATTACAATCAAAGTAGCCTTTCGAGAATTATTGCGTAAATTAACGGATGGAGGACACTGGTAGGTTCTAGTAATGCGCTCACTTTCTTCGTATAGTACACCAGCAAAATGATTTTATCTATTCCTAGTAGCATACTGTGAACACTTTATTTCTCTTCAAGCAAGGCACAGATTTTGATCAACTTCGTGCTGTAAGCGAATTTCTACGCTTTACGATATCCGACACATCCAGAATAGTTCTGCTAACTTTAATTTATACAAGGATGGTTTAGATGAGTTTCACCCACACTCTCATCTGTTGAATCAGAAATCGTCACAATAAGATTTTCTTTCTTTATTTTAAATACAAAAAAATCTTACACGAAAGCAAGTCACATAACTACATTATATATATAATTGAATATGAATAATTTAGCTTTGCACATTTTCAATTATTTGTCGGATGTATTCGATTTTCTGATGTTGATTCAAAACGAAAATGTTGATTTAGAAGATGACAAGAAAATGTAGAACGTAACATGAGCCATAGTTCTTTTCTAAACAGACTTGATGTTAATGTATAAATATAAAATGAAATTGCTGGGAAAACATGGCTAAGTACAGCAGATATTGCAGATATAAAATTTTCTAGTGCTACTTGATCAGAACTTTTATTTAGAATATAAGGAGAAATAATATTGTTAATATTATAGAGTGTATATGGTAATGTTACAATAAAAAACGCAATAATTTGAGAGAATAAAGAAAAATATTGAGAATACATCCAACTGTACCAAATGAAATGAAGAAACAAGATAAAGATAATACTATAGGCTTCTGAATAAATGATAACGCAATACTTAACGATGACATTCTGTATGTCAATTTACTAAAAATTAGGGGAAAATCTGTTTAGTAAGAAATGGTATTTCCAGTAGGATTATCTTTTTTCAAATGAAAAATGTTTGTTATTTGAAGAAAGTTTTTCTTTAATATACGTGGTTTATATTTAATCGTTGGCAAATGAGGTCTAAAGCTAAATCTATTCGATTAATTAAATATCGTCATTTCGATTTACATTATCTCTAATTTTTGCCGGAATCTAAATCGCCCTATAGCAAAATGTTAGTGTAAAGAGTTCATAGATAGTATGAAAATTTAATTAAGAAGTTGGTTTCAAATTCGAACAAAAAAATGATTGAGATGATTCATATTGAATGTGAAGGTTTGCGTGAGTACAAGAAGAGAAATATAAGCTGAAACCATGATATAGATTGATCTTGATATATATGATTAGTTTTAACTATGTATATATAATAATCAACTGATTATTTTGAAATTTCCTAAAGAAGAAAGCAAAAAATGAAACGGCGAAAAGGGTTTTCATAGTAACACAAAAAATTTTATTCTGAACGATATTGGAAGGATTGTTTATGACATTTTTCATAGGTTTATATAGTTTTACATTTACCCGAAAGAGAAAACAAGTTTTACCAGTATTTTTGCAGCCCTCCGTTGAATTCGAAAATTCATTTATTCCTGATTTTTTCTCTTCTTTTTTTATTCAAAGAACTTTATTCTTTTATCTTATTAAGCGTTCCGAGGAAGATCGCCCCAGTCAAATTTAAAATGAAAAAATATTCATTAAAATACTATGTAGCTTAGAAGCTTATCACTTCGAGCATTTTTACAAGGAAGAATTGTGAGCTTCAAAATTTAAAACTACTCACACACATGTGCAGATTCCTGCGCTCGTGTAAAGCTCATGTTTTTACCCGAGAAAATCTATCCAGCTGAACTTCAAAAGAGTTCTATTAGAAGTAGTTTGAGTAGGTTTTGCACAGATATACTAAATGAAAAAGACAAATGAATGTTACAATTTTTATCATGTTACGGCGCTATTAATTTGATTCAGAAGATATCTTCTCTGTGACTACAGCAATTCAATTATTTCTAGTAAAACTTATTTACATAAATTGACTAAAATACATTATAACTGAACTGCGTCTAACACTTTTCCTCTGTTTGACTATTGGTATTCTTTTTTCTCTACCATAATATGACTAGCTAGTCGAGCACAATGATTACGGCTCATGGATTCATGTAATACTTGCAGGAACTCGAAGGAAAAAGCAGCAGTCCCTGCAGGTAGACAGCGGAAATCAGCGAAAAGTGCAACCAGGAATCCTACGAGCGGTTTAACCCTAGGATTCCTGCTTTCACTTTCCGGATACAGTCCACACTTTTCGACATGGGAATGTCTAATTGGTTGGTATCTGACTAGTCAGAAGTGATCATTGCGTTAGAATAAAGAACCATGCTATAGACTATTTAAAAAAAGAGAATAATCAAAGTACAGTTCAATTTAAAGTTTAACGCATCCATGAAACGTATCTGGTCGCAAGGATAGCACTTTACTTTTATTTTACTAAAGTAAAGTAACTAAGATACCTGTTACTCCTAAAAAAATAAACTATGCCCTTTTGTGTCTGAATCCGAACTGAACCCTGTTACATTTAATGAAGTTTATACTTTATATGAAGCGTATTTCCAGAAAAGCCTTCAGAAATCCGTTGTTACAAGTTGGCCACTATTTTCATATATTGGATGGCAGCGATGATAATGATGATGATGTTGGTGGGCGAGGGTGAGGGTGTAATTGCTTGTAACCCTTACCTATGCTCTCTTTAGATACTAGATATCTACGTTTCGCCAGTATACTGATAAATTTACGTTGGTGAAGTTAGCACCATATTCGAGTAAAAGCTTTCCATATTCGTTTAGGAATGCGTTCCAACCGTTCCAAACAGCGTTCCAAGTAGAACTCAACGAGCTCTATCTAGTGGTATGCCCAGTTGAGACCTAGTCCCAACATTGGTTTTTCGGATCAGTACTGCCGTTATTAGAGGCCTAAAAATAAATCTCGAGTTATGGGGAAACTGAGCATACCACTAGATAGAGCTCGTTGAGTTCTACTTGGAACGCATTCCTGAACGAATATGGGAAGCTTTTACTCGAATATGGTGCCAGCATTTTATTAAAAAAATGAAGTATTTTGTAATTTTTTTTAACCATCGTTTGAACTACGGT